CTTTCCGTCCTCTGTTAACGCATTTCCCAGATATTTAGATTTTTTTTAGTTTGATTTTGGTATCTCCGATTTGCAATTCGCACTTCGGGAACATCCCTTTGTCTTTTCCCATCATCTTAGTTTTCTTTCCTTTATACACATTTTTAGTAGCAGACGTAATAGTCATGAGTTACCCGTATTTTCAAACTGAATATTTAATTTGGAAACATTTTGCTTATTTTTGTTACTTTTTATCGCGGCGTGTAGAGGCACGGTGGAGTTCGAATTTCAGTCGAATACGTTACATTCCCTTACGGGCATATACCCACGAATCCATTTCTCCATCTCCACCCCTGTCCCGGCTATGGATTATTTACCCACAGCTGGGGGAGAAAAGACAGACTAGATCCTATAGCCTTGTGTGGCAACTGGTCTAGGAGAAAGAAAACTTTGAATTCAAAACCTGAGTGGTCGGTAAGTGATTGGCCACACCCACCAGATCCTCTTCTGGTGAGGAAGGTAAGCAGAACCCCAGCAGCTCAAAACACAAAAGCTGTTAAAGGGCGGATTAACTTTTCAGAATCAACGGCCATCCACCCAAACTATGGGTTAAACAGCTTAACCAACCCGAAACTGGCCAAGCGTGGTGAGTACGGCTAAACCCCTAAAGTCTTGGTCAATCAGGAAGAGGTTCCTAGAACTTGAGTGAAAAGGCGCTACTGGATTTGCATTTGAATCACGGCGACTCATCGACGTTTGCTAAGCAGCATTGATACTAAACAAAGTGTAAGCTCACGCCGTTATTCGAACGCAATAATCCCGTATACTAGCGAGCTTGTCTTTCTGTCTCAGCGTCAATACTGGTTGGACTATGATGGCTTTTCTCATTGGCGTCGCTCCGATGAGCCATATAGTTGTCATGCTTATTTCTCTGATAGCTACGACGCCGTGTTTGTTGCTTATTTATACACGCTTGTATCAGTATTGTGCTATTCGATAAAATTCCTCTCCGTAGGCGTCCACTCCCCAAAAGAAACACACTCACATACCTTAGCTGCCGACAAGCTCCTAAACATAGAATAAACAATGAGTTCAAATGTTGTTGACGTTAAGGAATATATCAAGAAGGTAAAAAAGAATTAAATCAGTGTAGGTTGAGAGATTTCTCAAGGGTTACACGAAGAAAGAGACGCGCCTGTACTTGGAAGAAGTTAAAAATGTCTGATATATTCTGTTCGTTAGGGAGAAGGTCTGGGGTGAACATGAAAAAAAAAAATGACCAGTGGGGGCGTAAAGTTCATGATGAGACGTGTATGTACAGGAATAAATGTCTTTCAGATTGTATCTATCTATCTATCTATCTATCCCAGTCTGTTCATATCTATCTATCTATCTGAGATATCACAATATTTTCATGTCTATCTCTCTCGGTCTGTTCATCTGTCTGTTTCTCTCACTAAACCCAATATATATAGTGATTTTCCAAGCGTAGATTGGATGTGGCACGAGGCTGGAAGTACGGGGCACCCAGTGAGGATCGAACTCACTACTCAGTCGTAATTGTTCTAGCGAGACAAGCTTTGCTAACCATTACACCACCTCGAGGTGCCCAACCCTAATATATATAGTAGAGACTGAGATCAACACTAAGAGGCGACAATCTGTTTTATGATTGACACGCAATATTCAAGCCATGAAAATTTTGTTCAACATGAAACAAACTGTCGCTGCTCAGTGTTGCCTCTCACTGTCCTCTTTATATTTACATGCGCTTTATCCCTAATACTGAGCACTTTTACTCATAAATATAGCATAACTTAAAAATATTATCATATATATATATATATATATATATATATATATATATATATATATATATACTTAAATAAAAGGTTAGACAAACCTACCTAGGCTGGAACTTCTGCGGATCGTCAGGGCGGACTGACGAGATGTTGTAGGTGAAATCTAGGTAGGTTTGTTCGGCTCTTTAGGTTTATTTCTAGTTTGCTCTATTTTTAGCGTATTGAGTAGAATTTTTGCTTAGTTATTTTTCTTTTACTCGTGTCAAAGTTTTTTTTCTTTGAACTCTGAACTTAGATTCTAGAACGATTATTTTCGCCGGAAGTACACGTTCTTAGTTCTTTAATTTTTTTAACCTTTTTTCCCCCCTTGGGTATTGGTTTGTTCATTTACAAGCTAAAACACCTAAGGTTTTGCCGGATGAGTATAGCTGCTTATATTTATAAGATTATTAGTGTTATATATATATATATTCCGACAATTATTTTAAGACAATTTTATGTTTCTACATTCAAAAAAGAATGTATAAACATAAAAATGTCTTAAAATAATTGTCGGACTTTGACCATTTCATAATGAGTAACGTCATTTGTTTACATTTGGATACGCATCGAGCAAATATGAATGTACGAGAGAAAATCATGGAGAATTGTAGTTTAAAAACAGTAAAATCGACCTTGCTAAGCGAAATACTCCTCCGTGGCTAAATCGGTAAAGCACG